TGGCGGAACGAGAATGTTGGGGTGAATGGGGTGCCGATGTATGACCCCATTCAGGAGGTGAATTATTTGAATGATCGGAATTTTGACAATTTCTAGGAATATTAAGGAGAAAACACATACTATCTGGACAACCGGGGTCATCCGAATTTCTTGTACACCAATCTAAATAACGCTCTACAACTGCCAATGGGATTTTCGGTGACCAATGAGGTCATTGACGAGCCCAAAAAGCCAACGATAGAGGAGATTGTAAAAATATTGGTTTGGCATCGTCCGAACAAACCTAAGTATTTTCTAAAAAAATTTCTTGTTAGACAAACAAAATAAATTAATAGTAGGTTTTCTATTTATTTACTTGTAAATTAAATAACTTTCTAGTATTTATTATTAATAATATATGGTATATATTTATTATTATAGAATATATTATCCCTTTAGGGGAAAGAATACATAATATATATCTTGTATATATTCACTTACCGTATAATCACTTACATTAATGAATTAGATTTGATGGCATAATTAGTTTTCTCTCTTGTAGGACAAGAAATATATGATAAGGACTATAAAAGTATGAGTTTCCCACACATACAGAATCCTGAATGTTTTTGTAGAAGATTTAAGTAGGATTTAGAAAGATTAACCACAAGATTTCATAAGAAGGTCGACTATTTTAGGAAAGTCGTGTTCCTGCACAATTTTTGAAATGCAATTCTGAATATTTTCAAATCACATACACAGATTCTACTTGAAGGGATTTTACTCTAATCACATGCCAAATAAAAAAAAAATAAGGAACTGATCATGTCCAAGTTTTGAAGAAGCGATAATTGGAAAAGAAATCGATCTCACATGGAAATGAGTCAATGCATGGGAATGAAAAGACTCATCACCTTTCGTAAGTTTGTATATATACTTGATCAAAGACTCATTGAAAGGCTGCTGCAATTATCGCGCTCATTATTCTAGGCTTTCATTGAGTATTCGTGCGCCTTTTAGTTTTCTTTGTTTACAGTGATTCAGTGCATGTTCTTACCTCGCTCAAGACCTAATTTTGTTCTTCATTCACAAATACTTTGAGTGCTTAGGGATTAAGTACTTGTAGATAGGAGAGATCCTTAGCTTGTTCAAAGTCCACACGTTGTGGTCATAGAAATAGTTGATAAAGTCTGGTACATTATTGGTTAAATTGGGAGAGAATCCTATTCGTGTAATTCTAAGATGTACATTGTGCGTGAACCGATCTATTAATGAAAGAGCTCTGAGAGTAGTGAGACGCTCCCTAAAGACATTTGTTTTTTTATTGCTTTCGCTTTTAATTTTAGTGTTTGAACACACATTGCGTACTCCATTTACTCCCCCACTACATCTCAGAGAAGTTCACCATGTTCATGGATGAGAGAAAGAATTTCATGCATGGAAGAGACGCGGGCTTTGTTTAATGCGTTGGGGAACCAAACAAAGACACTTGAGCAACATGTGAGCCAGGCAACCACGGTAGTTGGAAGTTTACATCAAAAGAGTCAATTTTCGAGTAATACGAAGATCAACTTAAAGGATTGCAAAACCGTGGATGCTCAAGAAATGAGAGATGAAGTCCCGACTGAGGTGAAGAAGACACATGAGCAAGAGGAAAAGACTCGCCGTGCGTAAGTAATAATTTAAGCCTTAAGTTGAGTAAAATTTGGAATGTAAGTCTTGAATTGATAATAACTTGAAAATTGGGACCCGAATAAATAAAGAGTAATATTTAAGTGTTAGTTTGAGAATGAATCATAAAGTCATGCTCTTATATGGAATACTTCCCCAACAAGAACGCGCTCTATTTATGAAACGGCACAAACTTGATCTATCGCTACAAAAAAAATTGGTATATTCCAACGAAAAATCCTAAGATAATCTATTTAAATGGAAATTCCAACAGATATTCCAATGTTATAGCTTCCGTTGGAATAATTCTAACGGAAATTCCAACGAAAATATTCCATTGAAATAAGATTTCCATTGAAATTTTAGATGGAATTTGACGATTCCAACGGCCAATTTTCCAACAGTTTTACCGTAGGAATTTCCATTTGAATTTTCATTTTCAATCCCGTCGGAAAATCTATTGTTGGAATCGTCAAAATCCAACAAAAATTAATAGAAAACTCATTCCAATGAAATATTTTTGTAAGAATTTCTGTTGGAATCCATTGAAAAATTTCAACAGAAGTATTAGGATTGGAAATCCATTGAAAGGGGGATAAAAAGAATGAAACTTTGGGCTACTACTGCCAAGTGCCAACCTTGCGTCTTCACAAATTATGTGGAATTTTCCTTTTTTATTATTATGAAAGAATGACTAAAGAGTAAAGATTACAGACGAATGTGTGAGTAAACCAAGTATATATTTTTCTATTGAACACCACCATACAATTATTCTTGATTAGGCGTGACTAGATAAGTAGTTTAGCAACAAAACAAAAGAAGAAAACGAAAAAAGAAGAAGAAACCCAACTAATTCTACGAAATTTTGATTAAATATTGTATATAGCATATATTATATGCAACAAACATGGACTTACCACATAGGTAGCTATATATAGTAATACGGCGACGACAAATTCTATTTGCATTCATTGGATGGGAAGGTACAGAGGAGCAAGTATCGGGTAGAAATATTAGTGCTTAATTTAAAAACGCCCAATGCATTATAACTTATAAGTGATAAGTGTCTAATTCTATATTTGATATTTAATTGATAATAAATTTATGACTAAATTAAATTTTTATTTTATAGAGAAGTATAATGAAGATAAGTGATTGAAAGTTTTGGATTTTGTGAAAAGTTTTTAAAAATGTGTTTTTATAAAACTACGCTCAAGAAAGCGCATTAAAATTGCGAGACATTCCCAATAGAAAATTAATCAAAAAAAGTAATACAGTGTACAGTATACAAAACTATACAATATACAATTCCAAATAGAAAATTAATCAAGAAAAAGTATTACAATGTACAATATACAAAACTATACAATATACAAAACTATAAATTGTTGTGTGAGATAATTTAACTATGCTCTATGAAGCATGTCAACCCGTCATACTATGTAACTAAAAATACACACTTACATTATTAAACGTCATATTTTTATTTATATTATTTTTTAGTAAATATACATATATTGTGCGAAAAGTGTTTTGGTTTAATGGTTAGTCCGGCCTAACAGAAGATCTACTACAAGCATATAATTTTACTTATAATATCCAAAAAAGATATTTTCGATATTCAATTAAATGTATGTATGCACTCTATATTTTCTTCATTACATAATCACACAATTCCCTAAGTTCAATCCTACCATATGAATAGCATTTATAGAGCTCTTATTCGTTGGATCACACATTTATAATAATATAAAAAGGTTTGACATTTATCTGAAAAAGTATCTACTTTCCCGTCTAAATAATTTAATTTTACTTTTATTAGTAACTCTTTTAAAAAGTGGGCGTAAATTATTTGAAATTCAAATTAAAAAATCAATCTAATTAATGTACAGAATTATTTGTATTTGGAAATTTTGAAAATAAAATAAATTTGAGATTGAGATGAGATTGGTGCCAAACAAATTTTTGGGTTACATTTCATCTTATATAAACTTCCATATAATCTCCTCAATATCTTTTAGAAATGTAATCTAGATTGAAAACTAGTGTATATCCCGTGCGATGCACGGAGGAGCTCATATTTTAAACTTTTTTGTAGACTTTATTGTATATATAATTGGGCAAATTTGTTAATGAGTTAAATAAGTTATACAAATGATTAAATAGTTAAACTATTATAGTAATTATATTTTAAGAAATCCGATTATATAAATGTGGGTAAAAAAATATTATACTAATTAGTTTGTTAGGATTGTGATTATATAAAAGTTAAGATAAAATGAAATGTAACCAAAAAATCTGTTCATGGCCTTTTCTTTTAAATGTTTGAATTTAAAAATCTAATAACCAAATTTACATTATATCACATAAGGAAAAAATAAATAACAATATTTATGAATATGTTTAAAAATTTAATTTTGAATTTCAAATAGAGTAGAAGACGAAATAATTCAACTTTGTTTTCAAAAAGTTTTTAAAGTGTTTAATATTCTGGTAATTATACTCGTAAGAATAATTTTACTATTTTAATTTTAAAAATTTTGGCAAGTTTGTTAATAAGATAAATTTGGTTAGACAAAAGATTAATTAGTTAAAATATTATATTAATTATATTTTAAAAATTCCAGTTATATAATTGTAATTGTATTAATTAGTTTGTTAAGAATGTGATTATATGGAAGTTAAGACAAAATGAAATGTACCCAAAAAATCTGCTTAGGATCTTTTTCTTTAAATGTTTGAATTGAAAAATTTAATACTGAATTTTGATTATATCACATAAGAATAAAATAAATAATAAACGTTTATTAGTATATTAAAATATATAATTTTGAATTTCATATAAAGTAAAAGGTATGATAATTCAAATTTATTTTTAAAATAAAAGCTATGATAAACATTTATTGATTCCCTTTAAAATATATTAATAAAATATAAATATAAATCTAAACAATTTTTGATAAAATAGAATGTACCCAAAAAATCTGTTTGTAATCTTTTCTTTAAATGTTTGAATTTAATTTTTTCAAAAAAAAATCAAAAAATTTGAATAAGAATCATGGGCATGATTCTCCCTAAAATTCAAAAAAAAAAAAAAAAAAAAATCCTTTATTGATAAAAAACGAAAAAATGAGCGGAAAACTTACATATTATTTTCTGTATTTTTTTTTCTCTCTATTATATAGTAATAGATGGGATGTTGTAGATATTATTATGATTAAATAAGAATTTTTATTAGTGTGGTATATATTTTGGATAGAATTATAGATTTGGATTATTGAATTATTTGTTCCATACACACCGGTTTTAGTAGGATATTGATATGTAATGTGTAGTAGAAAATAAATATAATGGTCTATCAATTGCTATCTAATACATTGGCGCAATTCATGCATCTTAGGACATTGATATATTTGTTCCACACACACCGGGATTTAGTAAAATATTTCAGCCGCAATTAATGCATCTTATCTTAAACTTCATTCAAAATCAGCCCAAAAAAATATAAAAACATTGGCGGGATTTAGAAAAATATTTCAAAAAAAATTCTATTATGGGTAAAAATCGAAAAAAAGTAGTGAGAGAATGATTTTCCACTTTCGGATTTTTTTCTTATTCTTTCTTAACTATATTATATAGTAATAGATTTGTGCATACTACAATATAAATTTATACAAAATAACTTAATTAATTTGCGTAAGAATGTAGTTTGTACATAACATTTTAAAATATTACCTCTTCATCTTGGAAAATGATCTCAGAGAAATTCCTTATCTCCAAATTGTATTGGGTCTGAACAATTAGAAGTGCTCTTAATTTCAAATAGGGCTTGTTGGCCCTACTAACCGCATGTAGTCTATCAAACATTGGTTTTTTTTTCCTCTATTTTTTAAGACCGTGTTTCTCTGTTATTCAGTATTCTTTTAGCTAGACGAAGTGAAGAAGTAGTTCTAAAGAAATGATGGAGTTATATAGGATTCTACAAATTTTTTTGTAATCCATTTTTTTTTTCGTTGATTGGTGAATTATTTTATGTGAAAAAATAGTGTATTATTTGCCTACCGCCCGTAAGCCGTTTAGTTGATTGGTTAACAATTTTTTTTTTCAATTTTAAACAGAAGATAAACATAATCGCTTGAAAAAAAAAAGAAGTCAAATATATTGCTAAAACAAAAATCGGTTTTCCCAAATCAAAAGGAACTGAAATTTATCCGATATGGCAGGAATCTCATCCAAAATAAGGAAAAATTGTATGAAAAAATTTCAAATAAAATTTTAGGGGGAAAAAAAAGATGTGAGCGGCAAAATGAAAATATTTTTCAAACATTTTTTCTTCTCTCTATTATATAGTAATAGATAAGAAAAACCAAGCCTCCAAATTATATTAACACTCTAATCCATTATTGATGTTTCAGTTCTAATGGCAACCACACCAATTATTATCCTTTGTTTTCTTTTTTTCTTTAGCCCTCTAATTTCTTTAACCATCCATCCATCCAAAATTCTCATTTCAACAGAGCCGGCTTTTGGGGGGAGCAGGGTGAGCAACTGCACAGGGCCCCCAATTAATTGGGGCCCCATATATAAATATTAAAATATTATATATATATGATAATATAAATAAAAAATATAATAATATATAGAAAGAGCCTTTTGTGTTTTGTCTATCCGGGGGAGGTTCTTTCCTATTTGAGAAGTGGAAGTTGTTATTAATAAAATATTAAAAATATATTATTCAATATTGTAATTAGAGGGGCCTAATTTTATTTTTCGCTCTGGGCCCAAAAAATGTTGGAGACGGCCCTGCATTTCAAGATTTCCCAATTCCCATCGCTTAGGCCACCACCGCCACCAAGACGACGAAGAAGAATATTCACAGACCCTTCCCCTCCAGGAATTTAAGCCGGAGGAGACCCAGGGCCTGATCGAAAAAAGCTCGACGACGGATTCAGATCCTACGGCGTGGGGATCAGGGACGAGCAGCCTCGCCGCCACGGAAGCTCCAATCGCGAGGACGGTCGGGAATTTGCTCCGTCTAGCGCTGACCAGACCGACGATTGGGCGACCTGTAAGAAGTCTCCATGTGGATTTGGCGAGCGGAGGGAGAGGGAAAAAAGAGGGGCTTCTTCACGGATTCTCAATCACGGACAAATGAGTTCGACAATTGGGCGTCCAACAAGAGCTTCGTACTCAAGTGTTCCCTCAAGGGTTTTCAGATTCCCCGATTTTTCATATAAAAAGCTTGAATCTTTTTTTTCTTATTGACTGATTTTTAAGGACCATTTTGATATCTTTATTATATATTCTACCGATTATTGAAACAATATATATATTTATATCTATATTATTGATATTATTATTATTATTATTATTTTGATTGTGGTGGGTTCTTTTCACAAATTTTATTTAATGATTATAAGTCTTTTTTAGCAGATGCAAGATGAGATTGGTGCTACTGTCATTTTTACAACTTAAAAGCAGAGTGCATAAAACCCAAATTAGGACTACTACAGTAATTATTAAGAGGTACAATGAATATTAACAATTGAATAAAAAAAAAATTATATGCATNTTTGTTATGTTTCACTTAATTTATGAACTACGTGTTCAATCACTACAGCTTAATGGATAATTAAAGAATGTATTCAATTTCGTAATTGTCTCAATATCAATTAGTGGGAATGAAGATTTTTCTATTTACGTTGCAATTCTCTTGTGATATTTACAAATGATAATGTAATTATAGTGTAAGATCCCTTCTACGCATTAATGTTAAAGTCTCCTTACATTTCCATTAATTTAGTTATTTTACCTAACAATCATATATAAATTAAACACAAAATTTCCTTAAGACTTATATGGAAATTCCAGATGTATGTCATACAATTATCATGTCTCTATATAATGAGGTCTCCATTCGGCCTTTTCGTTGCCAATTTTAATCTCAAAGCACACAAAATTATCATATCATAAAATGAGTTTACCAATTCTCCCATGTTTCATTTTAAAAAATATATATTTCAATATTCCTTGAATGCTTACCATTTGTTGAGATATGATAAAATGTCTCAAATTCTTATATTGTATATATACCATTTACTTATTTGTTATGTTGGAATAAAGGATTTTATACTATTTACTATGCTCATTTGAAAGATGTTATTGGTGGAGCATCATGATATTATTATGAGGAAGATAAAATATTGGACTACTGTGTTCTACATATATTCTTATTGGGTTGAGTTTAAATCGAGTGAATTGTATTAAATATAACTAATTGAGTTTATATTAATTTATTTTATAGAATGTAAAGAAAAACAAGGAAAAAAAATCAAAATTTCTATTAACAAATTAAATATTTTACAATCAATACTTAATTTTGAAAATGATTTTATAAAGTATGCTAATATCAATAATACATGTAATGGTAAAATGAATTTAAAAATACATGTAAAATAAATAAATACTGTATATTTCAAAAAATATCCCGCCTTTCAAAATTAATTAATCAATTTATTGTATAAAATTGAAAAAAATTAATAACTCCGGTTTTGGTATAAAGCGGCCGATTTTATTTGATGTATCTGATTACCATATTTATTTTTGGTAGGAATTGTGTTGTTATTAATAAATGTCCAAATTTATGGTACAAAATGGGTGATTTTGTTTTGGTATGAAATATTCAAATTTAAATGGTATGGATTTTATTTGGTATGATAGAAGTATAGTTGGAAATTTTGAAAACAAAAATAAGTTGTATAAATTTTATTTGTTATGAGTATGAAAGTGGAATTTTAGGTTGATTTGTTACGATATCAAGGTGATATGATTTTCAAATTTTAGCATATATTCCAATAATAAATTTCTATAAGAAATAAATAATTCAAAAAATTGGTATGTATTTTTCTTGAAAATCAAAAATATATTTGAACAAATATTGTTTAGTAAAATTTAAAATTTGTAATTTAATTCTAGAGAATTAGTTAGTAAATTTGAACAATAAGGTAATTGACGACAAATCTAGAAAAATGTGATATATATATATATATATATATATATATATATATATATAAGGTAAATTACTGTGTAGTCTAAATTTGGGTTCCAAATGTAAAACTCAAATAAGTAATTATTCATAACTTACAGGTCAATATTAACTTGAACGTAAATGAAATAATCAATTATATATAATTTATAAATTACTCAAGTACTTAAATTTTTTTAGTTGGATATCTTACACAAAACTAAATTTATTTTATTAACGAAACAATATAAGTTTTATAATTATACTTATTATTCACATATATTTTTAAATATATGATAAAATTTCACAAAAATAATTATTTTATGGAATTACATTGTAGTCGACTCGATTTTCTGAAAAAAAAAATTAAAATGCACTTATTTTGAATGAATATAATGTAATTTGTTATTAGTACGTGCAACGTACGGGTGGTGTACTAATTTTAAATAGACATGTTTTATGTAATTTTGCACAATCTAAATTTCATATAATATTTTTAATAAATTAAGTATTTTTAAAAATATATAAGTATTTGTTAAATATTTACACTTGACTTGACTTGATAGCTCGACGGTTGAATAGGTGAGCTTGAGGCCAGCTGGGATCATGGCCGAGTCTGGATCTGAAAAACATAGTTCCACACAAGTCACAACAGTGGCAAGCAACTTATGTTTATAGGTTTCAATGTGTTGAATTTGTTTCAACGGCTGCAGTAATTAATTTGTTTATGAAGCCGTATGTGAGTACAATGGTTTCTACACTTGATGCAGAATTAGAGTTCCCTTTTTTTAATTGCTTCTAGAATGTCGGTACTCGGTACAAATTTTCATGGCAGGACAGCATATTGCAATTTTTCAATGTGACATATAAATCAAGACTTACAATTTAAACTTTCTTAGAAAAGTATTTTTAATTATATGTTAAGTTATTTTATCAGAATTTATTTTTTAAAACCAATAACACTATCATGAATTGCATATTAATTTAATTTCAGGAATAAAAACAATTCTTGCTACGATTGTATTACACGGCCTTAGCTGTCCGTATGGTATTAAATATAATTTTGTTTACGACTAGCATTTTGTTGCTCAATCTCGTGAAAAGATATCAAAGTGAACAAAGAAAATTCTCAATATCTGTTTATGGTCAATGGACCTCTGTTTGTGGATCTAAAATATATTCAGTCACGACTGTCAATCAAAAAATACAAATCAATTGTACAAACGAACCAAAAACAAATAAAATAAAGAAGCATGTGTTCCGTTCCATAACATCCCCGTTTTTTTCTCTATTCAACCACACACTACCAACCTCTGGATCCAATTCAAATCATACGTAAATTCCTGTTTTCCAATTTTTTTTTTTTTTAATACACATTAACTTATGATGATCAATTTTTACAAAATGCGACCCGATCGTCATGCAGGTGACTCGTACGAAAGTGGCGATTTAGGCGATTTCGATCTGTACCGTTCCCTCTCTCGGAGCCTGTGCCGATGGTGATTGTAACCGCTCTCCTTTTTCCGACTTTCGTTGTTATTATTATTATTATTATTATTATTATTATTATTATTATTATTATAATCCCTCGAGCTCTCTTTTTGAGAGTCACTATCGGTCGAGACTGCAAACACGAACGTGCCACAAGAAATGTCCTCCATATCCTTAAGCGGCTCTAGGTCTTGAATCACCTCGCTAATCGTGGGCCTGAGCTTGGGCCGGTGGTTCAGGCACTGGTAGGCCAGGGCCGCGGCCCTTTGAGCCCCTAGCTCAGGGTACTGCCCCTCGAGCCTCGGGTCCATCAAGCGATTCAGCTTCCGCGGGCTCCTAAGCATGGGCTTCGCCCACTCGACAAGATTCTGCTCCCTGTGGGGCCGGGTTTTGTCTACCGATTTTCGGCCCGTCAGGAGCTCTAGGAGCATCACCCCGAAGCTGTACACGTCACTTGCTGCTGTTAGATGACCTGCAAAATAAATTCTATTTTAAAAAATAGAAATTATTTCCGAAATGTACGGAATCAAGTTCGAGTTCAGTTTGGGTCAACCAGCCAAGCTGAGTAAAAGTGATAATTACGTGTAGTAACTACATTAGATTAGATTACGAATAGTTAAACGAAATTACCTGTCATGACGTACTCGGGAGCGGCATAACCTGTGGTGCCCATGACTCGTGTGGAGACGTGTGTGTCGTCTCCTTCTGGGCCGTCTTTGGCGAGCCCAAAGTCCGAGAGCTTGGCATTGTAGTCCTAATGTAAGACAATTATTAATCAAGAGTTTCTAATTAAGATGAATGAGGCATATCCAAAAGGAGAATAATCAATAATGCATATCATATAGAACTTACCGAATCGAGTAAAATGTTGGAAGCCTTAAAGTCGCGGTATATAACCGGTTTTTCGGCTTCATGGAGGAAAGCAAGTCCTTTTGCCGCTCCAAGAGCAATTTTCATCCTTGTTGACCATGGGAGTGAAACTGAAAATCCTGTAAATTATGTACAACCAAAGTAGTTTTAGAATATAATTGTATTTTTGCTCTTCTTTTTTATGTCACGGTCATGGTCAACAGACTCAACACAACCTTTTTGCGTAACACCTAGAAAGAAATTGCTCTTCCAGTACTTCAGAAAAGTAGGCATATATTAGTTTGACAATATGAGGCAGTAAAATCATCAAATTCTCCTAAGAAAACTTTTTTTTTTTTTTTTACTTTATACCTAAGTTTGCTCATGATTGATTTGCTTATCTATTTACTTTAATTCAACAAATTATATTTCATAAAATTTGTTTATGGGACCGACTATTTTTTCCAATAAAAGGAATAAATGTACCAAACATATCTCAAACGTCAAATATCAAATCACAAGAATGGTTGTACCCATTAAACAAATCGTGATCTCAGTGACCACGACTTTGTAAACAAGATTCTTTGGCAGTTGTCACCTAACGAAAGAAAGTAAACGTGTATGAGGTGATTTCATTCATACGTGATAGTTGCATATAATAAAATATATCTAAGATAACCTATTTTTTCCAATTTTATATCGAGTATGTTGACTTTGTCAACTGACATAAGAAAAGTATAATTTATTACGTTATTTTTCTTTAATTTCAATTTTAAACAACAAAGCGGACG